CAGCAGGATATGTCACTGACTTCTGTGGAAGTCCCATGGATTTCCTCCATCATGAAAGGGAACCGAGTGCCTCCAGTCATGAAGATACAAGTTTTTAACAGCAGCCTTCCTGGGATCTAAGATGTTAGGCTTGCACTAACAAAGAATTAGCTCGCAGATGGCAACAGTCAGCAATGGATTTCCCTCTGTTCTGTCTGCTATGGACCTTCACCTCTCACATGTTCTCCTGATGCGGAACATAGATGCAGGGCTGGCTCACCTACTCTGAGCTATACTCTGCTCCTTCACTCACTACCAAGCTGTTTGTGGTTGCTTGCTGGAGCCATCTTGAGTGTATTTGCCACCAGCTGCTTCCCATGACCTCGTTGTTCCCATAACCACCTCCAGAGTGCTGCAGCACACTGCAGGAGCCTACAATTTCATTTGCCAACACCATCTGCTGGACCTCCTGAGCCAAGATTACCTCCTCCTAAGCCCACACCCTTTTTATCAGGGTTTCAGATCCTGCAAACAAGGGGTCACAATCGCAAATGAAAGGCTCAGGAAATCTGAAGCTGCTGTTCTTATTCCAAGCATCTTTCCTTTCTCCTTCCAGCACACAAATATCCCTCTCATTCCACAATAATTGTTCTAGGGGGAAAAAAAAAATCCGTTACAACTTTTGGCTGCTGCTTTAAGCACGCTACCAGGCACAGTAACGCTGAAAGGAGACACGTCTGATTACAGCTTCTCTTTCTCTACCTCTAGACTGTCCCAGTCCAAAGAACTGAAACTAAAAGTGCCAGATGGCGGAACTGTATATTTATAAGCCTAAACCCAGTCTTTCTCTAGGAAAGACTTTTAGTACTAGAATTCAAGAGATATTGTCTTATTTGATTGATCACATTGCCAACTCCTGTATCTCACTGTTGTGAGATACTGACCACTCCCCCTTACCGTTATGCCCACATAACCTCACCCTCACATAACCTTACCCTTAATATAAGTGTATTTCTCCCTTTTATCTCTAAAGTATCTCCATTGGATTGACCAATCCCAGCAGCACTGAAGAACTTCAATCTTCCTGAAACTTGTAAGGCATATCAGTGCTTTTACTGCTTTGACAAGAAAAACCTCCACTTGCAGCCTCTGGTTTTCACCCCGTGTTGCAATAAAAACATTCCCCTGGGCCCTTGGTGCAATCTTGGCTTTATATGGAAAAAAATGTCAAGCTGCTATGCTGTCACGAGACCATGAGGTCTTTCTTCCATTTTCAGTTCAAATATCTGAAAATGCAGAGAATAATTTTTCCTTTGTAAATTATACTTTTCCATTGGTTTCAATCTGCTGTGGGGAAAAAAGCGAGAGGAACTCACATGTTCTGCTTCCGGTTCTGATTCGCAGTCAATCAGCTCTATGATTTTCTCAGCTCCCTTAACCAAAGCATTCCTCACTTTACTAATTTGCAAAGTTGGTACAATAAAAGAGACATATCTGCAGGAAAACTGAGAGGAGAAGCCACTGCTTGCAAAAGCCTAAGAGAAGTATTTGATAACTTATTTTTACAAATTAAAAACATGACAGAGTGTTCACATACCCACATGTAAACTCTACCCAGGAATCTGCTTGTAAGTGGACCACTCCTACATAAACCCTGCACTCTGTTTATAAGGCACATTGTTTCTTTTAAAAAGCCTACAGAACCCACACTTTGATTTGAATATAATAAAACTGCAGAAACAGCAGAAGCTGGCCATGTAACTCCTATTTTAATGAATACCTAAAGTAACAGTCCTCTAAGCTATTGTGTCATCTTTCAACTCCTGTCCCTCCCTCCCCCTTTCAGCACCAAACTCGAGGAAAAGAAAAACTGATTGGCAGGTACTGTAGCTGGCGTGAATAACCACGACTATATATCTTGTCAAAAATCAGCATGTACTTTAAAAAAGAAGAAAGTAAAATATGAAGATAAGAGGAATAATCTGAGGCTCTCCCATATTCTCATTCAAATTTTTCTATTTAGATTTCACTATATTTCCTTTTTTAACCTTCTCCTGCAGGTCTTTATATATAGGACAAAAAAAATCCGCTTCTGTCATTTAAAGCATGATGAAAGTACCAAAGAAAAATCTATTTTCAGCTGTTTCTCGTTAGAACACTTTTTTGCCACTGTGATGAAAGTCGATGCAAAGAAAGGAAGACGAGTCACTGATGAAGATGAAGAAGCATTTCTGATCAGCCATCTGCTCAACCAATTAAACCCCTCGCAAATAAAATTGTGTATACGTGTATAGCTAACCCATAAAGATATACATATCTATGTGTACACTGGCATGCAAACACATACATAAAAATACCATGTAAAGTCTACTCTGCATATACTAAACTGTGCTTACATGCTGGGTATAGCTAATTAAATGCATACATAGAGAAACACTGCAAATATAAAATAGAATTTGGCCCCATTGGAGAACAAAGCCTTCTCTATTAGCATCCTTTTCTTTTAATGGTCCTTATGCAGTAAAAATAAAGTCCAAACACTGTAATTTCACTCCCAGAAAAGTTACAGATACTGTAGGTATCTTTAGAAACAGCTGCAAAAGTGGATTCACTTCTGACAAGATTGGTGTTAATTACCAGTAAGGACTTCAGTATAATACTATTTAAATCATTTTAAATTATCCCTCTCAAAAATTAATTTTTCATCAAAGATTACACAAAAAAATCATGATATCATCTCTGCAGCTGCGATTTAGTAATAATTTCATCTATTATTACCAATGTCAGTTAGATAAAAGAAAAATGGCATCCTACTGTGCTGATTCCAGCATAGGCCATATATAGAAATTTTTAACTATCACTTATAATCGCCTTGATGAGCTTAAACCTCCTCTCAATTAACACCCTAAATGACACTGAGACATCTTAATGGAGGATGTAAGTAAAGGAAAAAGACTTTAATCAAAGAATAAGAAGAGAAGTGCCAAGGAAAAGGAGGAAGTCTGGTGTACCTCTCAGTGTCCAATCACACCAAGGTCCTTTATCTTGTCTTGAACTTCTTGTCATCTTAATATTGCGACTGTAACTTCACAGCAGCACTAAGAAGAAGAAGAAAAAAAGTGTGCATACTCTTATCTGCAGTTTGCATCCACATCTGAAAAAGACAGTGGAGGTATGCACCAGGCAGGCAAACACAGACTAAATGAAACTGAAGAGATTATGAAAAATAAAATAATTGTAAGTTACAATGAGCCTGACTCCATTTTGCTTTCCACTTCAACAGTGATTCAGGGAAACCCTTAAAGACTGCAATACAGTTATTCTCATGCTACTCAATAAAGCTTGAAATAGCATGTTTTGATCCAAACATCCCAAACTGAACTAAAGTTCTGCTTTTACAGCCAAGAGGTAATTATACTTCTAGAGATCCCAGTTACAGACAACCATGTAAAACTTGCTTAGATGGCACCTACAGTCTATATTATTAAGGGCATTCTTGTCTTTTTTAGCATACCTTAAGTATCCCAGTATAACCATTTAAATGCATAGACGTACCAGCAAGTTGTGATAGCACTCTCCGAATTTCAGGAAGGTTGAGAAGTAAGCCTCTATCTAGTGGTTCTCAAACTTCAGAACCAAATTTAGTAGCCATCAGAGTAACCACACAAATGTGGTGAGCGGACAATCTCCAGCAAGCCTCTGCAGGCTTCTCGCTGCAGCCTTGTGCATAACCACTGGGCAACACCTACAGCCTGGGAACTGCTGATTTGGGCTGCGCATAGGTGAAGGGACGGGGGGCAGGTAGTTTTGCCCTGGTGTCTGTCTCAGGGACAATCTGCTAGCACCGACAGGGAAAAGGGGCTTTAGAAGTGCAGTCAGGAACACCCCACAGAGACTTGGGAAGGCGCCGTGAGCACCCAGGAAGCGTACATCTCTGCTGTAGTAGCTGATGTGGCTGTGAGATTCTGAAGTATCTGGACTACAAAGAGAAGCTCCTGTTCACTGTGGCTGTTGCTGTAATTCGAAAAATATATATATTGTTTCATGGCCCGATATTTTTTCAGTTAATTCACTCATAATGAGAAGCAAATTAATATCTCTGGGTGCATTAAGAGTAAAAAAAAATCTAATTAAAATCAGCCATGGTATTTCATTTCTTTCAAGTGTTTGCTTGCCCGTTAGAGCTTCACAAACTGTTAGCTACAAACAATACCAGTTAAGGATTCAGCTCATTTTGATTAGCAAATCATTTGCAAATGGATTTTGCTTTTATTTGTCGTAAGTATTTGTTGAATAGCTCACCTAACCATTTCAGCTTGTGGGCTGTTTACTTCAGCTTTTCACTAGTCACTCCTACTCTGGTGCTAAGCACACAGTATTTATGACACACAAAGTACTGTTAAAAGAGCCCCTCAGGTAAAGGTAAGAAATCCTCCAACCTCTGCTCCATGACAGGTGCAGTATCCACTAAATTTAGTCACTGCTGTTACAGAGAAATGATCAAACCTAGAGAGTTATTTTTCCTCCTGTGCTGGATATTTCAGACATATGAATATTACATAGCAACTAATAATAAGCAATGTACTGTGTATTTTTAGGGAGAAATTTGCAGATGTGTACTGATTCGTATTAATATCTGTGCAACTTACAGCATTCACAAATATTACCCTGCCATGGGGCAGCTGTCTGAATATTTCCAACTGAAGAGCTTTTTCTGTGACTCACAGAAAATCAACCTTCCAGCATTCATTCTCGAAACTGGTTTTTGTTCATTCCCCCTCCCCCCTCCCATTTGGTCTTCTATCCAAACACATTTCTTTCTCCAATTAAAATTTAAGGAGGGTTGATTTTGCATACATAACACACAAGGTAGTAATGAAGTAATGCATGCCATTAAAAAAGTCCCTAAGTATTCACTGATCTGAAGGTTGACAGACTTATCAGTTTATAGAAAAAAATGAAGCTAATAGCTTTAGAGAAAGAAAATGCCTTGTACAGAAAAGAAGGGTCACTTTCTGCAAGTGCTTCTGTAACAGAAACTGCTGTATGGTCCACTGCTAAATGCTAAGCACAGCGTCTTAAAGATCAATCCCGCTCCTTTGCGATCAAGGAAATGGTTATTTTCTTATCCAGCAGGAGAAGTCTAAGCACACTGCTTTTAACTTGGTCTCCATTTCGATGTTTTACTAGTAGGATAATCATTTCTGTTGATTACAAGTCTGAAAAAATCCCATTTCTGATCAGAATGGCTGTGGCAACAAGGAGCCTAAGGCAGACTTGGTAATGCTGATATCAAAAGGAAGTCCTTTTCCTGGAATTGGGTTTGAGCTGCCCCAGCAAGAGACTCCAGTTAAAAGCTGCATCTCTTTGGAGAGAGAGTGCCAATCAAGCCATACTGAGAAATAATTTCAAGTGCAGACAAGCCAAAAGGCTGTGATACTCAGAATCAGCTGCGATAGTCAAAACAAATGCAAGTTTCAGCAGGGATGGACATTCCGGCATTGGTTTATCACTTTGTGACCCAGATTTAAGCCAGTGTAAGGAGTTTTTTGCAACACAGGTAAATCCATTTAATGCTTACAAAAAGAGTGTTTCCATTCCCATCCCTTTCTCCTAGCTGTATACTGCTACTTCTTGCTTTGCACATGCTCTGACATCCATCTGATCTCTGTACAAGCTGATTTAGTTCACTAAGCTGGTAGAAAATGATGGATTGTTATTTGCTGGGACAGTTTTCTGCTTGTATAGCCAGCTGAAGTAGCTTACTGGGGCATCAAACAAGTACCAGGGCTGTCATAAAAGGAGGGGAGGAAGGCAGGATAATTCCTCTCAGCACTAGCCAGTTTTCAGGACGGCTCAGTCCTCTCAGGAGACCTCCCCCTTAGACAACGCACATAGCAAGGCTGTGTCACTGTAGCTGGAGTTACCTCTTCAGCCACGTCAGAGCTGTTGCTCTGACCAAACACAGGGACACCTGGTAGAGTCCCCTGGTGGTAGGGACACCCCAAGAATAAAAGACAAGGCTTACACAAGAATAAGTGGGTTTTTTTTTTTTTCATGATGGGAATAAAGTACACAGAGAAACACATGAGCCTGGCAGTTGAGTTTTGCTGGCATTGCTATGTTGGTTAAGATAGTGAAAAAAAAATCCACCAAAGAAAAAACAAACCACACTTTCCTAACCAGCACTGCTATGGCAGCAACTCCCCTGACGTAGATGCCATTTTATCTACAAAAGAGTACTTTTGCCCTGTACTTATCTTGTTCAGGAAGTTGTATCAGTTTATCAGCTTTTTGTGCCAGTGTAAACTTAGCCTCTAGTGGAAGTGTCTGACAGTCTAGCTCTATCACAAGCCCTTTATAGCTGGGATACGGTCATAACAGGAACCTTTGGGCTTTCGATTATGAAGAAAGCCTGTATTTCAGTGGATGCCCTGCCATGAAGCTGCACAGCTGCTATGAGGGTGCTATTTTTGCTACTTCAGTCACCACCTTTCCAAACAAAAAAAGGAATTCTGTGTGTGCTGTGAATAACAATAAAAAAGTCTATTCAAAATGAGTATGCTGCATTTGTGTCCTTTTATTTCTTTGCCAGCAGTAAAGGAGTTCACTCTAAAATCCCCAGCACTCTGCAATTGCTTGAGAGCCAGGACAGCTCTCAAGCCAGGTCTAAATTATAAAGTGTTGTTGACAAAGCTGTTTCAGTCAGAAGCGTGAAAAAAATCACACCCTTAATTGATATATATACGCCAGCAACACCCTCTGCATAGATGCAAGAATCCCTTTGCTGGCATGGCTTATGTCACTCAAAAAGGTAGTTGAAAAGAAAAGACTCCTTTTGCCAATATGTGCTTTTTCTCTGGTACAGATCAGCCAACAAAGTCCATGTATCATGGATCAATGATTCCCAACTTTTCTATAGTCAAGCCTCACTTGAGAAAATTGGCAATGTGTAACACTTCCCCGTGTCCAGCTCCCTTTCCACAAACGGGGCTTTTATTTCCACCTTATCTCCATCTTATTGCTTCCTACCTCCTTGGCATTTGTCCTATGGCCCCCCAGTCTCCCTCCTGTCTTCTGAGTCTCCTACTTTTGATGCTGCCATTTCTGTCTAGAGTCATTCAGACGTGCTCTTCTCACGCCTCCCAGCACTTCTGGGTCTGGCTGAGCTCATCTATCTGGGCTCCATGCGGAGTACCCTTCACTTCTAGGGACTCCCAAATCCTTAAATCCTAACAAATTGGAATCAAAAATACGTCCATTGCTTAGAAGTATAAGCAAATTAGTATGAAACGCACAGACTTCTCTCTAGATTGTCAGTATAGCTTCATGAAAATGTTTACCCCTCCCCTCTCCTTTTTTCTTTAACTTGCTCTCAATGGGATAGCTTGCCAGACCCACCCTAAGCCACTTCAGGTTCATTTAACTGAAGATTTAATCTTGCAGAATGGAATCCTCCTACACTATATCTTATGCTTGGATGGATCTATGGCTAACTGGACAGGTGCAAGGATGAATAATAATACATCACTGTATTAACAAATGCTGCCTTCGCATATAACTTTATGAAAGAAGTCTGGCCTATGATGATGCTTCATTCACCCTGGAGTAAAACACAGTAACTCCAGTGATGTCCATGGAGTTACTTAAAACAAGCTCAAATTAAGCGAGGATTAATTTCTGCAAATTTAAGCCTATGGGAATAATATTGCCTTTTGTTTTCTGAAACTGTAGCCTTGGTCTTAAGAGGTAGATGGGCAGTAAACAGAACTTAACAATAATATGATCTTAATATTTATATGAGAAATCCACTAAGAAATTATTACCCAGCATTTAACTTTAGAAGCATTGTTTGAGAAAAGAAGAAACGTTTTCCTGGTTTCTTCTTCAAACTTAATAGAACTATGTTGAGTAATTCTTCTACCTCTCTTTCTCCTATGCACGTCACAATTTTGCAACAACAAAGCAAAATATTTTTAATAAATATTTTTTTTTGTGCTCAAAAGAAAGAGCACAAAGTTCTGTGTAGACAATGTATATATGAAAGTTCTTTATCTACTTCTGCAAATCAGTTCCATCAGAGGTGAAA